CTCTCTGCAGGCAAGGGGCCACTGCCCCCACGCCTTCTGCCTTCAAAAACTCCAGATCCTCTAAGCTTCGTGGCAGGCCTCGGGTCGAAGCGGCGCTGGGCTTCTGAGTGACATGGTGCACTCTCCGGGCAATCGCGGCGACTGCAAGACCTTTAGCCGAAGCATGACGATCATTACTATTATTCTTCTTACTAGTAGTGTAATCTTTATGTTCATCAATGTTGTTCTTCTTATTGCTGCTATGGCTACGATGATCTTGATTACCGCTATTGTAGATGCTATGGTCAATTACTACTACTCCTCTTTTGCTGTTACCTTCTACTTTTTCTGCCAAGGCTCTGCCCAAGAACAGCCGCGGGAGGATCTGCAGGCCCCAACTCCCCACTCTCTCGGGTTTGGGGTTTTGGGAGCAATTCACACTCGGACAATCCAGGCGAGGCATATGGTTCGAGGTCTGCTAACAGAGTGAGACGCCTCTACTGAGAGCTCGGACAAAAACAACAACATACGGTCTGGGGTTTAGGAGCTCTCTTTGCCTCCTAATTACCGAGCAAAGACGAGCCGGCACTGCAGGGTAACTCCGAGTGAACGGTGCAAAGGCTCGATCAAGGGTGATTAGACTCGATCAAGCGTCACGGGCTTGGGGTGTAGGGTTTAGGGTTTCGGCGCTCACCCTCGGACAGTCCAGGCGAGGCCTGTGGTTCGTAGAGTTTGGGTGAAACTACATTATGGGCTTGACGCTCTCGCAGGCACACATACTCGCTCCGGCAGGCACGGGTTCTGACATGCGGTCCATGTACCATGGCTTGCTACTGGGACACGCGACAGCTGCACCCAAAGCAACAACATCAACAGAGCGACCTCAGCAATGCAAGCAAGCAGAACTGAAAAACACATACAATGGGTTTTGGGCCCTGACAACAGCAAATTTACTCTTTGCTGCTACTCCTACCACGGATCGCCAACATAAGTCAAAACCCTCAGAAAAACCAAAGCGAGACAATGACAGCTACACGGATTCTGTGGGCTTCGAGATTGGGGGCTCCGTCGACTCCTCCTGCAAAAAACCGCAAAAACATTCGGGCGAAGAGGATCCGGGGATCAGATATGCTTAGATCAGTATCTGCACCATGTCAAGAAATGGTGGGTGATATATGGATGACAAATGACAATAACACTGGAAATAGCAATGATAGCAATAATCATGACAGCAATAATAATTGCATCATCGCGGATACTACGAAAAGCTGTCTAATGAATGCTACTTGTGCCGTTGTCCACCCCTAAACCCTAAACCCTGATCCCAAAACCCTAAACCCTAAAGACTTTGAGCCTGAGCTTTGGTTGCCTTAGCTTTGGTTGTCTTCTTGTAGTCAGCTCCAACTCCCGAAAACCCTTCGCAGCGTGGACGGCCGTCCCTTCGTTGCGTTGCCCTTTAAGGAACCCTTATAGAACCCTTAAAGGAACCCTTATGCAAGCCTTAAAGGAACCCTTACAGATCCCTTAAAGGAACCCTTATAGATCCCTTCTGTGCGCCAGCACTGATGCACATGCGGCATATGTTCATGCACACTACACACACGCACACACACTTCGCTTCTCTGGCCTTGTGGAACTCGAAGCGGGTCGGTCTCTTGACAGACCGAAGGACATGAGAACAAACACCTCGGCATGCAAAAAACCCGGCGCTGGCCCTTCGGATAATCAGGGTAATAAGGCGAGCCAGAAAGAAAAAGTGCAAAAGGGTACTACTCAGGAACCGAGAGATTTCCCACCCTTGGGAGCAACGAGTGCTTTCAAGGGTTCAATACCAAATCGGAGCTACCAAAAACAAGAACACTGCTTACCGCTGCAACAACAGACAGAGCCCTCATGTGCGAAGACTTCAGAAGTAAACATGTCGACTTGACAGGCTTATGAGAGTTGCCCGGTAATTTGTCCAAGCGTCATTTGGCTCGTCTTGGCCCAATGCCAGTAGCTGTGACAAACACCAGGAAGCATGGAAAACCTACCTTGCAGCGCGGACGTGAATATGATGCAAGGATATGCAAGGTATGCTCAAACCTTACACCGCCAACGAGTTCACTGCGCGATTCACCCGTCCAACCAACTATGCGGCCAAACTCGACAAGAAGGGCATATCTCGCTACAAAAGCGCCACTGCTGGATCAGAACTTTGCCATGCTCACACATGCTCACACTCACACAATGCAACCAAGAGGCCATCTCAGCTACGAGTTGCCGAAACGACCCCATTAACAAAGCACCCCCACAAGGAGGCACCTTCAAACCGCAACAGGCCAGTACGCTGTCCTAGCCGCTGCGTTCCCTGGCCCTGACTACGGTTCGAATAATTGTTTTGCTCTCGGTCTCGCGCTCTAGCAATTCAGGCGAGGATTAGGGCAAACTTCTGCAACCGCTCTTCTCGAAATCGCGTGGGTCGAGTATGTACATGTACCAGGGTCTCCAAAGTCGAAATCCTCGATTTCAAAGGCTGGCAGTTACCCACGCAGCTGCAGGCAAGCCGCACAGATGATAAAGATTGCAAGGAGTACAACCCCTATAGCGGCAAGATCCTGGCAAGGGCATCTCAAGAGGAGCCTTGTGGAGGCGTTAAAATGGCCTACAGTAGAAGCCAGAAAGTTGGGGAAATATGATTATCCTAAAGCCTTTAAGGTAAATTACAGGGGGATCCTACCATGAATCCATATTCCAACTTTCTGGAGTTCCCTTTAGGGAGAAAAGGGTTCAAGGGTGTCGGGGTTTGGGCATTGACTCTCGGCTCAGGGCTTCAGAGTGAGAAGGTTATTTATGCAGGGCTTAGTCGCGCAGTTGCACGTGCACTTGTTCCATGTTGCTCTGTAGTTCCGGACTGAACCTTGTGGCCTGCGATGGCCTGCATACTGATAGGTGACGGTGACCGAACGCGGATGGCTGCACGTGATTATGATGATTGTAAGAGGACAGCACGAGATCTCTGTGAGGATCATTTGGCATTGAATGCAGGACAGTGCAATCTTTCAACTTGGCTCCGCTTGGCTTCAAACCGGGAGGAGCTCTAAACCACCAGTATAGAGAAAAGAAGCTCAAAGAAACAGCCGGAGAATACCAGCAGCAAGAGATGCTTGAACCTTAACAGGCACCTGTTTTCAGTCTCTCGAGCCCTTGAGAATATTCTGCAAGGCCTACCGTGGGGTTTGAACATCTGCGAGGTGCAAGCTAAGACGAGCCAGACATTTGCATCCATTCAAACCCTTCAAAGCAGAGAGCGAACGGAAGAAGGCGAAAGCAGAACGCGGAGATAGAGACAGAAATCACAGAGCGAGAGGAGAGAGACAAAGAGAGAGCCAGAGAAGCAGAACGAGAAACAAACCCTACAAGTCGAAACTCGCTGCCGCGCTTTGCATCAGCTGGCCTGGTAGCTCAGCTTGGCAAGAGCTTCCAGGATGCTCTCCATGCCTGACATCTAAACATATCTCAACAACATCATGCTCCCCCCAAACCTGCTTTTGCAACAGGCGCTTGTTAGGCTTATCGGTTTTTTGCTGTGAGGGCTGAGGTTCCTGTGTCCTGGGGGCTTCATCAGAGAGTGAGGCTCTCGCTGCCCTTGGTGGGATGGAGTGGAGGATTGGAGGCATCTTGGGGCTGTGGGCAGAACCCACGGGGCCATGGCCCAGGAAGTGAGAATGTTAGGCGATGTCACATTATGTGATACGATATGGTATCAGGTCATCCAATGTTATCAGGAAACTACGAGACGCACCCCCCGATCCCTGGGTTCGAGAGCCCTTGGAGCTAAGATGTCATGCAGAGCTGCCGCCGCCACTGAGCCACGGTCCTCTACGTGCCCATGGCGCATAAAGGCGGGGTGCCGACGGGAGCCAATCCGGAGCCCAGCCCTGGATCCCTGGGGTTCTTGGGGATGGCTTGGGAACTACTAGTAGGTGTATCAAAACAATGCAAATTAGTAGGATAGTGTTACAGTCACAGAAAAATTCTAGATGAGAACAATATGCTACGTAGTAAAATGTAGAATAGAAATGAAATATTCTAATCTATAACAACATGATACGTAACCAAATGTAAAATAGCAGTGTCAAAGCTGCCCGGCTGTGAAGAAGTGGGCCTGGGGTGCTCGAGGAGGGCTCTTGGTGCGTGGCTGTGTTTGACGTGGTCTCTGCTGCTGAAACTAGACCGCGAGGCCTTTGGCCCCGAGTGACACTTCGAGCCCTGTGGACGGACATGATTGCGAAGGCGGGCTCACCGACACCGGTGTCTGACAAGCTTGAATCCGATCATTCACACCCAAACGAGGCATCACGTTCAGGGTCTTGGAGTCTTGGAGCTGTTCTGAGCAAGTGCAATGGAAGGTGTAGAGCATCTCCCGATCCAGGATTTGCAGGTGCTTCAGATTTCGGCAAGCCTTTTCTCCATCACCGTGCCTTTGAACCACCGGGACCACGAGTTCGGATTCGCACAACACGCCCGCACTATTTGCAGGCAGCCTGTCCCTGCCGCAGAGTTCACGGCAAGGCCTGGAATTCGCGTGTGGCCCGGCTGAACAAGTGTCACGAAGCAACACTTGCCTTGACCAAGGTTAGCTGAACAATGCAATCGGACTCCCAATTTGATCTAACGATGGTACTTTCTCTAATCTCAAGGTAGACCGCAAGGTTTGGGTACCATCACTGGCCTGCGAAGGGAAGCATGTTTCACAAGCCCTTCGAACAGGTTCGGCTCCCGCACTGGAAGGTCGAATCCCGCCGGCCCAGCCGGCCCAGCCGTAGACTTCCGCAAACACAATACTCGGACCGCTCTGCATCACTCTGCGCAGCGACGAATTTACAGAGTTTTTCCGTTTGTGGGGTTTGGGAATGAATCTGGTCCTGCTGCATGGAAGAGCCCAGCAGTGACAGTGCAGCTCGAACCTGGCCTGAATGCTGCCTTTGGCAGCCGCCAGCCGCCAGCCTTCTCGGACTCGAGAAGGCAGGCCTGCCCTCTCAAACCCTCATCTCGCCGCGAGGGAGGGACAAGCTCCAGTTGAACTTCTCTTCCTTGGTGGCCACTGACCCACAGGAAACCCTCAACTGGCATGGAGCAACCAAAGATCTGAAATCCAGGAGAAGCCGGGATGCCTCCGTCCCCATCGTTAAGACGACGTCTCCCCAGATCCTTGGCGCGGGAAGAGGACCTCCCATCTCTCGAAGGGGATGTGTCGAATGTCGTTCCTGCACCTGACCTGTGGGTTCAAATATATGAGGGGTCCCTTTTGTTGGGGAGTTCGGATAAACTAAACGGGCTCTACCATCTTCTTCTACGGAAGGGGCCAAGTACTGTCTGAAACTTTCACGTCAATGAATGCCAATAGCCAAAAAACGCCACCGTCGCTACCCAACAATGCAGACGTATTTGGTTGAAGGCTCTGAAGCCCATTGATGTACAACCAGGAAGAACCGAAACTCAGAGTGACAGGATTGGCTGCAGCTGGCAAATGCAAGCACATGCTAGCACCGTACGCTTCATAGCAACTGAACAATATGTATGTCGTGATGTTACAGAAACTGACATTAATTCATTAGTGGAGCCATCATCCCCTCCTCACTCTGAGCCCAGGCGCTGGTGTAAGAACTGGAGACAGCTTTCATGGGAAGGGATCAGTGCCTCACTCATCGGGACGGCAAGCTATCCGTTTCTTGTGTTTGCTGCTCGCTGTTCGGGGCAATTGACATCATGCAGGCAGAATGCAAGCGCATCCATCTGCCAGCGCAAGAATGCCAGCCGTGTGATGCCCGCATGGCTGCGAACGAGGGGCCTTGGGATGAAGAGGCTCACAGCGAGCGAGCTCGTCTGAACAACGACTATCCCCGGACAGAGCCAGAGTACCCATGGAAAGAACAAAAAACATGTGCCATACTCGCATCGAAAGAACACCGAAACGAACCATCAACTAGTCTCGATGAAAACCCAAACGGCAAGCTTCCCAAAGTATCGACCCAGCGCACCGCCTTAACCATCCTGAACGAACCGTCGAGCATCAGGGAGGCGAGCAGATCTTCTGCGGGGAAAAGTTCGCCGCCCACCTCGGTGGACCTTGGCCACTCCTGCTTCTACTGCTACTGCTACGGCTACTGCTGCAACTGCTACTGCTACCGCTACTGTGACGCTACTGCTACTGCTACGTACTGCTACTGCGATTGCTCCTGCTACTGCTAATGCTACTGCTACTGGTTTTTTATCACCACACTCGACCCAGTCAGGCGAGGCTTGGGGAACAAGACAGGATGACAGCTGCATACACCAGATAGGCGGGACAACGCTTCATGCACAAATCACGCAGGCAAACGCTGCTGCTGACTGTTTCAGCCACCCAAGTGTTGTGATGCGATAGCCCCTATACAACCTTTTCGGTGGCTCAACAGCAATGATTGGGAACTTTACACTGGAACGACTGGAATTGTTGCTGGTCCAAAACTGGCGCTTCAGACTCACTTGCCGACTCATGCTTCAACACTGGCAAGGCATGCAATTTGCAAGCGGGGCAAAACGAGCAGCTCGTCCATCGTGGCCACTCTCAATGGCTCACTCAAATCTTGGAGTTTTCGGACAATGGTAATTAAATGTAATTAACCCCACTGGTCGTCACTCATCGACTAACTCCACTCACACGAGCTCCCTAGCGGCTGTGGTGGCGGCTCTTCGAGGAAGCTGCCATGTGATTGTGTTTCTCGCTGCGCACTGCACTGACCATCCAAACATATCCAAACCCTCATCTTGCAGAATTGGATCACAATTCTTGAGCTGTGTTTCCTCAATTGCAGCGCATGCCAGATGGAGCTCGTCATCCTCGGTGAAGATGACCTCCATGATAATGGGCTTGTCCTTGGTGGGGTGCCTTGCTCATTCGCAAGATCTGTGGGTCTTCGTGCCCTCCCGCGCCCAGCAGCTCCGGTAGCACCTTTTTCTTCGCTCCGGCGTGCTTCTCGTGCTGCTTCCTTGATGCCTCCACCTTGCTCTTGAAGTCGCTGAATTGCCTTTTGAGCTTGCCAAGCTCTGTCCTCGCCCCCACACATGGGCCACTGGTGATGGTCCTCCTGGCCTTCTCCACTTGCTTGGTCCGCTTCCCAGAGCCTCGCGAAATTTTCCAGGGCGATCGGCAGCCGAGGTACACTTTGCTTTGGTTGCCCCTCGTCATCTGAAGAGATGCGCCCGGCCCCGGTACAACGGTAAGGATGTGCGAGTGAAACTGCACAAGCTGCCGAAAGATGTCGTCGACCAAAATGGCATCAACACGAATGCCAAAGTTACGAAACAGCAGAACTCGCCAGTTCTTTTGTAGGCAGCAACGGGCGCGGGAGGTTATGCAGTTCTGCCCCAGCAGCACATGGCCGGCGGGACATGGCAATTTGCTACTAGTGATGTGTCTGGTAGACGAGTCCCCGCCCCCAGACGCTGCTCTAGTGGTCACACAGGAACTACTTTGTCCGCTGAGGACAGGGTGCGGTTAGCACCAAGGCGCTGCAGCAGGCAGACACGACCAACTAAATGTAGTTCGGAGCTGCAGCATCCACAAATACCACAATAGACCGCGATCAGATGGCCGAGCAAGGCTGCCATTCTGAGTCGAAGGAGTAGTGGCGTTGGCAGGGTGTGAATCCGAAAAGAAAAAGATCTTGAGTTTTCATCAAAGTGCGCGTAGCTAAACAAGCCTGGTGCGAGGTGCCTCAGGTCAGGATGCATTCAATGTCCCCATCATTCGTGGCCAACCTGCCGTCCCCTGCCTGCCCCTCAGATGCGTCAGCGTCGTTGTCAAGTGCGAGAGCCTCACCCAAGAAGTCGAAATGGCCGCTCCCATGCACGATTAGACGATGAAGTCGGCCGTCCATGACGGAGTAGGTGTGCAGAGCGATGTTAAGATCGCTTGCGACCTGCTCGAATGGATACGCTGCCGCCTCCATTTTCTCGACTTCGGCAGCAGCCGCTTGGAAATGATCAGCTGCTTCTTTGCGCTGGCCACTGTGCCGATGCGCAGTCAGATCCGCCCAGGCATTGCCCCCACCAGGCTTGCAGGCGTGCGTTTGCCCACGTGCAGCGAACTCCGTTAATGCGTGGTCCCAAGAACAACATGGCTTGGCCGCCAAAGGCTGAAGGAAGCCCGGAAACTCCAGCGCACACGGACATTGAAATCCTGCGAGTCGTGAGTTCACACTTATCCAGAAATAGGCTGGGGCGGAAGGTGGCTTGAGCCAGTTTCCCAGCAACTTGATGATAGTACTACTACTACTACTACTACTACTACTACTACTACTACTACGACTACTACTACTACTACTACTACTACTATTACTACTACTACTCCTACCTACTCCTACTCCTACTCCTACTCCTACTCCTACCCCTACTCCTACTCCTACTCCTACTCCCACTGCCACTGCTAGTGCTAGTGCTACTGCTACTGCTGCTGCTGCTACTACTGCTACTACTAACACTAATACTACCGCTACTACTACTACTACGACGACTACTACTACTACTACTACCAGTCCTACTCCTACTGCTAGTGCTACTGCTACTACTACTACTACTCCTACTCCTACTCCTACTCCTACTCCCACTCCCAGTGCTACTGCTACTGCTACTGCTGCTACTACTACTACTACTACTACTACTAATTTAATACTACCGCTACTACTACTACTACGACGACTACTACTACTACCAGTCCTACTCCTACTGCTACTGCTACTGCTACTGCTCCTGCTACTGCTACTGCTACTGCTACTTCTGCTGCTACTCCTACTCCTACTCCTACTCCTACTCCTACTCCCACTCCTACTCCTACTCCTACTCCTACTCCTACTCCTACTCCTACTACTACTACCCCTACTACTACTACTACTACTACTACTACTACTACTACTACTACTACTACTACTACTATTGCTACTACTACTACTACTACTACTACTACTACCGCTGCTACTACTACGACTACTACTACGACTACGACCACTACCACTTCCACTACCAACACGATCACGAACACGACCACAACCACTGCGACTGCGACTGCTTCTGCTACTGCTACTCTAGCGCTACTGCTGCTGGGAATGCTCCTGCTACTATGATTGCTACTGTTACTGCTCCTCCTCCTGCTGCTATGCTACAGCGCTACTGCGCTACTCCGCTACCGCTACAGCGCTACTATCGCTACTGCGCTACTATCGCTACTGCGCCACTGCGCTACCGCTATACCGCTACGGCTACTACGGCTACGGCTACTGCTACTGCTACTCCTATTCGTACTCCTACTGCTGCTACTGCCACTGCTACTGCTACTGCCTCTGTTACCTGCTCCTACTCCTGCTACTGCTAGTGCTCCCGCTACTGCTCCTTCTTCTGGTTCTGCTCCTGCTCCTGCTGCTGCTACGACTCCGACACCGACTACTTCTACTACGACTGCTACTACGGCTATGACGACGACTACGACTGCTAGACTGTGGTCACGGCCTGCTGTTGCTCCGTGTGTGTCTGTAATCGCGTTCTCTGCACTGTTGGGACCACTCTGACGAACTCCAAGCCTACCGTGTTGGGAAACTCCGCGCTACAGACAAAGCGTTCTTGCAGTTCGGACTGTTCCTCCGGGCCTCCACATCGTTATCGTGATCAAGGTGCCTTGTGCCTACTGTCCCTTACATGAGTACCAGCAGGTACCACCACAACACGTTTCCATGACTACCGCACTCACCTCGAAGACTTGACTTACTGCTACCATGTCAAACGACCAGCACTTACCTTTGGTTAGAAGGGGATGGAGGAATGGGGTACAATTATAACTGCTACTAGTACCATTCTTCCACTCCCTACTAACCAAAGGTAAGCACAACTCTCAGCATTGCCCAGCTCTTTGTTGTCAGCTGGGCAGCTCCACACGGGTGCGGATCCAGGCCACTGCGAGGCTGTCGGTGGGTTTCAACCCGGCCTCTCAGGCAGCACCAGGATCCGGGTTCTAGGGTTGATGATGCGAACCCCTGCCTTACCTCAAGGACCCCAAACTATGGTAACTATGGCCTATTCCTCATTATGTGTAATGCAGGATTTACATCCTCAACCGTAAACCTGGATGAGGGCCGAGGCCGAAGGTCAAGCTGTCATCGCTGAAGCTCCTCTTTCACACTCGGCACGCGGATTTCGGCGAGCCGGCGGGTTCCAGTCCGTTTCCGTGTCAAGGCGTGTCTTCTCACCTCCTGTACACATATGCTATTTTGGCGGGCTGCATGCCCTCAGCACCTGTACATATCAGCATCTGCTATTTCACGTTTCGCGGCTGCATGACTGCGCTTTCCTCAGGCTATGTCGAACGTCCACAACACAGGAATTCTGATGAGACACACATTTATACTGGCTGTCTGGCAAAGTAAACCAGAATCGAAGGCGACAGGCCATGCAGCGAAATCTACTTTGGATTGGCACAAGCAACTATAAGAGGTCACTGGCAGCTTCGCGCGGCAGCTGAGGCAGACGCCGGGCGCCGAACAACACCTCTGCCGCGCGGAAGCTGCGATGCCAGAACACTGGAAAATCATCCACGTCCACCATCACGTGAGCAAACTATGCTCCCTCAGGGAACTTTTGTCCCTAACCTGGGCCTCCCACGCCGACATTTCTTGACCCTCAGTACAGAATTTGCAGCTATGACTAGGAGCCATGTCTCAGACTCGGGACCAAGCGTGGCAGAAGGCTGCCACAAAGAACACCACACACAGATGCACACATAGACACTGCGAGGGGTCTGAGCGTCGCTTCGTCGAGCTCGGGGGCCAAGGTCTGTACAGCATCAAATTTCCTCCTGACTGCAACAAAAGCCTTGCAGTAGCTCTGCCCGGCCCCTTCAAAGGTGGATCTCCACGGCTATCTCACAAATCGTCGCGTCTCCGATGAGTTTCCTGAAGTCCCAACTCGCCTCCTCCCCGTTACGCAGCTGGCAGCACGTCTTCTCCACGAAGCTGTGCTTGATCGGCTTTGCACCGATCAGCTGGCTTTCCCCCGCAGAAATAGCGACAAAGGCGGTGATACTTTGCAGGCCCGGTGGCACGGCGGAAGAGCACTTCAGCTCCAGGCTGCCCCTGCCTTTGGCCTTCTTGAACCCGGCGTTCTTGCCGCCGATCCTTAGCTGCTGAGTTCACAAGCCCCCAAAAGAAAGTGTACACTTTCAGCTTTATAGTGGGTACTATTATCCCAAAATGTGAAATAAGGTGTATCCACTCTACTAAGGCTACAAAGGATCACCATCATCCGAAAGGTCAGAGGCTCTGCCTCTCCGGGGAAGTGGAGCTGAAAGTCCGGGCTCACAAGGCGCCCAGAGTTGGAGCTGAACTTGGCCTTACGACCCCCAACAAGCCACAGAAGGTTTAGGTTTGTTCTTTTGCCTTTAGGGTTTCGGGTTTAGGGTTTAGGGTGAAAGCTTTCCGATTCCTACTAAACTATAAGAACCCAAAAAAAATTGAAGGCTAGGTATTGGGGATCGAAGTGGCAGCATCCACACACCACTTCACCAAGGTATGCTCCTGCAGACGGCTCGTCTCCAGCGTACCAGGCCGTTTCATGGTCTTCGGGGAGAGCGGGCCGTTTGTCTTCGGCTTCGGGGAAAAACCCAGCAAGCGGGGGTATTCGCAGCTTTGCATCACCAGAGATGTTCCGGGTGCAGGTGTTCCCACACCCGGGAGTGCGAGCATCAAGGGCGCTTGAGCCGTACAGGGCGGGGTGACGCAACCGAGATTGTCGATCCTGTCATGTCCCTCCTCCTGAAGCATCGCATCCCACTCCCATGGATCGGGGGTCGATGAGTGCACCAAGCCTGCCACTGAAGTCGCCGAGGACAGCGAGGGCGAGGGCAGCGCGGGCGGCTCTGCAGGTGACTCGCCGAAGCTCTTGCAGATTGCCTGCAACTCCCAGACATCTGGCGTGTCAAAACGAGTCTGCGTCCGGAGGCTCTGCAGCTTCCTCATGGTCTCGGGCTCGTGGCAGTCCTCGATCACGGACTTCTCGCTGCTTTGCCGGACGATGCCGTCATGAGGTGCTCCGGTCATCCCCTCCTCCTGGAGCATGGCATCCCACTCCCATCGGTCCGGGGTTGCGGAGTGCCAGAATCGCGGCGTTGAAGCGGCAGAGCCAAAACAGTCCTCAATCACCGACTTCTCGGACCTTTGCTGGGCGACAAGATCGCCTTCGCAGCTTTCGCAGCCTTCGCCTTCGAACTGCTCCTCGGCCTCCTGGGCATCGGCCGCCGTCGCGGGTACCGTCTGCGACCGCAGCAGACGCCGCTCGCCGGGGGTTCCCCGGGGCTTCTCGGAAACCTGCACGAAGGTGTTCACGACGCTGATGTCCTGGTCCATGAGAAACTCCTTCGCAAGCGCGGGCATCTGGGCTGGTGCCATGGCGTCACTGAAGACACGGGAAACTATTCGAGCAGGAGCCGGAAGCTGCACACCTCGAGCCTGAAAGGCGGACCGAACTGCCTGGAACAACTCTCCGCGATCGCGGCTGCGTGGGAAGAGAAGGGGCCTTAATGATTGGGATAGGGGTGGGTGGGGCCCATTCTTTTTCCACTATCATAATAAGCAACCCCAAAACTCTCACAGGTAATGTTGCGGAGCCTGCTTTTGGAGAAGCGAGTACAGCTGCTGCAACGTGCGCGACCGCCCGGGCGAAGTCCTCAGGTCGCGACTGGCTCCCAAAGCCATACCATTGGGCCTAAATAATTCCCTATACTATTTCGGTGGTTCCTTATTATAATCATAGTATAAAGGGGCCCCAAAACCGTCTTTTAACTGTGAAGGCATGTTAAGGCCCCTCTATTACTAAACCAGCCCTCGCGGATTGTGTGCGACTCCATCGCCCAGTCTGGGTATCGCTTCGGCTATCTCCAATCCGCTGGGGCCTGCAATGCCTAAGATACTACAGTAGAAGCCTAAAAGTTGGAAACTCAATAGCCTCAATCCGTAAGAGTAATGTATAGGGAATCCCAGCATTATTTGGCCTCAATCCGGTTTCCAACTTTCTGGGGTTTACTGTAGAAGGTGCTGGAAGATGCTAAAAGATACTAGAACACTCGGGAATGCAGCATAACATGCTGTAAAAACTTTGCCATGACAAACTCTCTCATATACCATCATTTACCATCCTATGCTCCAATAATCTGCCACAGTATACCACAACAAGCCACAATACCATGGACCCTTTTTTAAAGCACGTACCCTTAACCCTAAACCCTAAACCCAAACCACCCTCTCCCAGACTCGAAGCTCGAATCTTGGCCGGGACACTCTCCTCGGATGGCGTCCGCCAAGGCGTTGACGTCGATGAGAGGCTCGGACCACAGGCTCTCGCTACCCGGCCTCTGGGGGTTTAGGGTTTAGGGTTTCTGGGGATCTGTCAGGGTACCTCAAGGGATCTATAGGGTTTTTGGGTTTACGCTCTCACAACTCGGACTCAGCCAGGCGAGGTTCTTGGGTGCACTGTCGGTGTGATACATTGCTGAACAGGATTCTCACTTGTGCAGGGTTTAGGGGTTCAAGGGTTTACAAGGCTTCACGGTTTAGGGCTAGGGTTTAGGGTTATGGGCAAAGCTGAGGGGCTTAGGGCTTCTCTCTTGGAGCTTATAAGGGTTTACGGTTCAGGGTATGGGAAAAGATGGCGCGAAACCTTCCTTCTACAGCAGCGCTGCGGGAGACTCGGGCATCAAAGGCTTCCTGATTGAGAAGGAGTTTTCTAGGCCTTAGCACCTGCTATTTGTAGGACTCCGGCGGCCGAAAGTGCGTCGTGATCAGCTGCATGTCCTGCCATGGAGGATGACTTCGATGCTTCCGGACTTCCGTGCGGACAGTTCTCAGCTCGGGGATCCTGCCTGAAGCCAACTCGGACATGCTTGCTTATGCCGCCAGCTCAGGTCCCGACATCCGCGCCCAGCTGGACGCCGTAGTCGCAGCGCAAGGATGTCAAGACCTCGTCCGGCACAAATTACCGAGAGCATCGAAACTGTCCACCCCGGAGCAGAAGGAGCAGAATTACTGTGCAAAGCCTCCTCAAGCCTGACAGGCGCAGCTCAACTCTCACCGCCACTGCGCTCCGCCGTCGGGCCAAGGCCACGGCGGAGGACTCGCCGACCAAGGTCCGCTCAGCAAGGGCTGCCGAGCCATCAGCCGTTGGCAATCGACTGGTGGAGATCGGGCCATCCAGCACCAGGCAGTCCTGGGGAGTAGTGCCATTATTCACTAGGCCTTTCTCATATTGCCCTGATCGTTTATGACTTAGAACATGCTCTACTTTTCTGATGGAGAGAGAGAAAGAGAAAGAAAGATCGACGAGATCAGGCGGCCTTCGAAAGGATCTTTCGGAAGATGCTGTAGGCCAGGACCTGTCGGTAGGCATGGTCTCTGAATCCTTCGTGAATTTGTCTCTGAATGATCTCCAAAGAAGATCCTGGCCCTACAACAACTGCCCTTTCAGCAACGAGTGAGTAACCCAAGCCTCCCCGCGCCGGCGGATGCGCTTCAGGATGACGGCCCTGGATGCGAGCAAGCTTCCACCGCCGGCTGTTCTGCCGAAAGGTGCAGGAGCTCGGGGATTGCAACGTAGGTCCGGCGAACGTGTTCTTACATTGGCTTCGAACTTCTGCCTTTGAAGCCTTTGGGTAGCTCGTAGCTTCGCAGCTCAACATCCGACAACTCTCCCGAGCTCCCGCAAATTTCGAGCACCACAGAGTCCCGACGAAAAACCACTCGAAAACCACTCGTCCGGATCCCCACTGATCTGGACCTGGCCTGAGGCTATGCCACTGTGCAAAGGTCGTGTCTCCACCTGCGTGCAAGCCAAAGAGAGCAAGTCTACACCTTTCAGGTGGGGCTGGAGGGACGCCGGCTTTAGGCAACGGGGCAAGGGACAAGAGAAAGTGGCGTAAAGCTTTGAAAAGCCATCTTTTTTCAGCTTTCGCCGGCTCCTGCCACCGCCTCCAATGTCAGGCAACACAGGCAACACAACGCCTCCAAAACAGCCTTCACCGCAGCCGTTTCGACACATGGATGTCAGGTTGCGGGGCTAGTGGTGCAGTTGCCCTTTGACGCGTGGTCGAAGGGAAAGCCTGCTCCATTCGAGCCAACATCTACGAGTCTACACACTGTACACTTACAGTCACAGATAATCACAGAACACGGCCTCTTTGGGTTCCTTTTGAACATGGTACTCTGGTATATGGGTTCCTTTTGAACATGGTACTCTGGTAAGAAACGAAGGAAAGAGACGGAAACTAGGAAGAAAAACACTGATACTCTGCTACCACCACCACCACCACCACCACCACCACCACCGCCACAGGTACTGGGTTGAAAAGCCTGTTCGCCAATTGCAGGATTTCTGTTGCTTCATGCTACGGATCAAGCTGACCATCCCCGCAAGCCTGCCGCTGTCCGGGGCGTGGCCGGGTTGAGGCAAAGCCGCTCCAGCACCCAGCCAACATCTGGAGGCTCTCCTGCGGGAGATCATGTTTGCTGATCTCCGGAGCTGTATCCCCGAAAAATGTTAGCATGCGATCTGCAGGATAGCCAACGGAAGTTGCATCCCCATATGCTACAAGCGACACAAGCATCTCTCAGACAGAATTCCGCATGGCTACAGCGCCTATACCAGTACCTGTAGATTAGGGTCCGTGTTCTATAATGGGAACCCGAGAAGGGCCCCTATAAGTGCCCATGTGAACAGGCCTTCCGGGGCTGATGCGTGCAGCAGCAGCTCCTGCACGTCCTTCCCCACCTGAGCTTCGCTTTCGGACCATGTACAGATTTGAGTTTCCGAAAATAGGGCACCCTAATCTAGTACATCATAATGACCCCAAAATAAGTACCCTGATTTTCTGAAATTCCCAAATCGACATTACCTCCAAAACCCTCTCATGGCGGGGGGTTCTACACTGTTGATTACTCGTTTGGCTTTCCAGCATGTTCTAGCTACTGCTGAATGACTTCATACTGGTGTCCTGTCATTATGAGCCGAAACCATCGACATCGGCCGGTACCAAGATCTCCCGACCCCTTTGCCTAGGCTGCTCCCGTCTCTTCGAAGCACAAGCATTACAAGCTTGGGGCCGTCGCCAGCAAAGGCAACCCTACCAATGGCCAGAGCTGCGTTACATGTAGCTTCTCCCAAGAGCCCCAGAAGTCCCAGCAAAACCCGCGCCGAAAGAAAGCAATGCTTAAAAGACCCTACAGCCGGGTCGCGGCAGCGGAACGTGAGATGCAGCCCCGACCGACGGGGTTGCTGAGGCCACCAAAGACCGCCTGACACCCAACACATCGGGTTGGACACATGAACGAACTCATGTTTTCCGCAAGCCTCACCCGTTTTCCAAGAAGTCGGCTTGCACCCAACGGTCCAAACCGAGATAAGGACCCACTGGAACCAGCAATCGAATCTAAAGGTTCTTTTCGTGGGACGAATCCATACCCGCAAGCTACAACAACTGTATGCCAAGCAGTCTTCATTCTTAGGTTATTGACCAGTCAGAGGCACCGGGCGGCCTGCATCAGCCGTGGGCCGTGAAGGTAAGAGAAGGGCGCAATGGGCACAATGCGCACGCCCCATCTCAAGTCCACGGGGTCACCGTAAGCACCGGCTGAGGAATGCTCCGGCACGAGGGTGAAAGCCGTGTTCCAGCTCCGGCGTCCCTGACAGACATAGCCGAAGTCCACGAAGCGCCCGAAGATCAGGTACGGGGCTCCCAGACCTCCACCACGGCTGGGTGGCTCGCAGCTCAGCAAGATCTCGGAGCTCACATCGTCGACGGATGGCAGCCCGAACTGAACGTGCTGTCCATAGTGCACACGGGAAGAGGCAGGGAAGCCATCCAGCTCACTACACCGGAATACCCGCCAAGCGCTTCGACACGCGACGGTGTCGGGGTCTCGTACTCGAGCAGCTGTTACTGCCACGAAGTCCTTGGCCCTACGCCCCGAGGCTGCCAGGTCCTCTGCCAGCCGCAACTCCTCGCGCTCGGCATCCGTCGGAGCGATCTCCCGCGGACCGACGTCGCCAACGGCCTTTGGGCGGACGCAGGCACAGAGCGCCGCTGCGAAGCCATCGTCATCCAGCGGCGGCAGCGTGAGGCGCAGGGCGTCCCCAAAGGCCAAGTGGCTGGGCTTAGGCTCCGGCTCCAATGCTGCCGGGCTCAGGGGCAGCTTCGCCGCTGAGCGGGTCTTCACCGTCACGGGCGGCGGCTTCCCCAGCTGCGACGGCGATCGCAGAGGTCGCAGGTGCCGCACGCGCCACAGGGGCTCCCGCGTTCCTCGGCTTGCACTGCAGCGACACTTCCATGAAGCACAAGTAAATGGAAAATATGGAAAACAAAGGCAGCGACTGCATGCTGGATCCATGGAAAGGAAACGTCCATCTTGTTGCAGGCCAAGGTCGAACGACCGGCGAGGAGGGGTCATCTTCTTGCAATTCGTCCAGCTTCACAGTTTGGGTCATGGACTAGCACCGCCTTGCAGTGCCAGTCAGGGTTTCGGTGAGTGGGGTCTGCTGGGTGGGCAATAGCGGGCTGTTTGTGTACTAACATAACATGGTGGGCTCTACTTGTGCTCTTTCTTCTTACTGGGCCGTACATGGCTGAGCCCCTCTTTCTTGCCATGGCCCTCGGATTGACACGGCAGAACCTCAAACTCAGCAGGGTTTTTGCATCGTACGAAGCCTGGAGTGCACGCCCAATCTTTGAGACAGACGAAAGACTGTGCGAGGTGGCAAGTTTCCGGCGATCTAGTCGTTTCGAGCCACTCAGTGATACTTTCCCGATTTAGCTCTCTATCGGTCGATCTATGTATCCATAACGAGAAATGCGCATGTACATATTCATACACCCATGATTGTAGCTTGCGACCTCGCAGGAGTTTCAGGACCGGGATCTCACGCGCATGCGAAGCAGCTCTGGTTTAGAGCGCTGCTGCGGGAGCCCACACGACAGGTCTCCGCCCGGCGTCCGGAGTCAGAGCCTGACATCATCCCTTGCCATTCGGTCGGAGTCCTGCCAAAACCTGATCTGCTCAAAGACTGTGTGCCACGGCACGCCCCGATCAGCATCAAATTTCTTGCAGACCTGCGGCACGCCATGCAGCGAAGTGTCAAGCACAAGGGGGCCAAGATGGACCAAAGGGGGCGCACCCGGATCTACCCGGGTAAGGGCGATGCAGGCCGGGCCCCCCAAGGGAAAATTGCGAAAACGGCCCACGATGATTTAATCACCGGCCTTCGCCGCCAGATGGCGTTGAATGTGTAGGGATTTGAGGCTGATGAAGCTGCAGGGTGGGGCTTACAAAGGTGCTTTTGTCCCGTTGCTTGAACGGTTTGGCCACGCAACACAGGAGTCTTCTGCGCCACCTGAGCGACTGCAGCACGCTGACCGGGGTGGGGATTTCTTCACAGAAATCACCTGCCCACCCCGGTGGCACAAGACTCGGTTCGCCTTGTCTGCGCGCGAGCTACAGCCACACGGAAAAGAAGGCTGCAGCACTTGCAGCTCAACGTCGTGCGGCTGCTGCGGCTTGGGAGGGTGTGCAGTTTCTACATGTTTCTACCAGAGTCTCATGCCTCGCAACAGGTCTCATTAAACTGCACACCGCCCCCAGTCATTGCATTAACGCTGCAGCAAAGCCCGTTTGGAAGCATGATGAAGCATGCGAACATCCCATGTACACGAGCTCGGCGTTGTTCCATGAAAACCGACAACCCAACAGACGCCACTGCTAGCGTCATCTTAAAGATCCTCCGCCCGCCGGCTTCGGCCGGTCTAGGCGAGCGACCACCTCTCCCACGTCTCCACCTGCGACCGAGGCTTGCAGCAGGCATTGCAAGAACAATGTTAAGGGCATGTACGGACCGGCAGTCCACTCTGTCTCCACACAGCATGGGCTTGGATTTTGTGCCAGCGAACACTCCTCAACAGCAGGGCCTTCTCGTGTGTAAACCCTTTTTGCATCCAGGCCTCTTGAAGTCTTGCCGGGGAATGGCGAATGCTGTAGCACTCGTGGCTACACATTCACACAAACCACTTTAGCACCCTAAACCCTGAAACCCAAACCCTAAACCCTGAACCCTAAGAGGCGCCCTGAAGCGAGTTCAACCGCGCCGGCACCTCCCGCAGCGCCGAGTCCGGCCCAGCCACGAGGACGCCACCGGACCAGGTGCCCAGCGCGCGCATCAGCCTTGCAGAGCCGGGGGCTTCTTTAGTACGAACAACAATAACAACAAGAATAATACTAATGATAATACTAATAATATTAATAATAGTAATAATAATAATAATAATAGTAAGAGTAATAGAAATAAGGATGATAATCACTGATGACATCACAATGATACGAATGATCATCATAAGCTTTCGGACTGGGACTGCGGCAGGGGAGCTAAGGCTCAGGGGCCCGAGGGGTGCTCAAGCATTCCGTGGCCGAACCTTCGTTTGGGAGTTTCCGAAAACTAGGGGTACCCTATTTTGGGGCCCTAAAAATAAGGATCCTACTATTTAGGGTACCATATTAGGGTCCCCTATTTTCGGAAACCCCCGTTTATGTCGGCTCTCAGGTTCCGTATGGAGAACAGACGCGAACCACAGACGCTGCATGCAAAGCAAGCTAGCAGACTTCCTGTAGAAACTCAACCTGTGCATCCTGGAGATCACGATGGCTCCGAGGATTAAGCCTGCTACCGGCTCAAACGGACCGCAGATTTTTCGAACTCTTCCTTCCTTCTGTCGGACTTGAGATGTGCCGCCAAGGAACTGGGTCAAGGCGGCACCTGCGAAGCCGGAAAAACCCTTCAACACAGGGATTGATAGGAAGGAGCCGACGCAACCAAGAGAATCGCCGCCTCTATCTGTTCCAAATCGGGGTCCGACACTCGGCAGTTCAGAATGACAACTGTCACATCAACACGACTCACCGCGTGGTACAATCTACGACTGACTGTGAATTGGGTTTTCAAGCTTGACTGATCTTTGCCCACATGAAGTGCACCGGTCTAAACCCATACTTTCACGTTTTCCGCCCCTCATAACAAGAATGTCCGGACCATACTATACAATGTTCTTCGCATCGTTCTTCTTGTCTTTCCGTAAGGCAGGCTTGGGTGCTTTGTCCCGAAACCTTAGGGCTGCTCAGGCCTTCCGCGCCCAGAGAGCCCGGCTCGCACCTGGGCCGTGTTTCAAGCTTTGGGAACCCGAGGCGTTGAAGCCAAAACCTTCAGCTCCTGCTCCTCCCACCCTTCCTGCTCGTTTAGGGGTTTAGGGGTTTAGGGTTTAGGGTTTCGGGTTACGGGCTCCTCTCTTATGGCCAGATTATGTAGTCGAATCTAGCTCGACGTCTCCGCAGGTTCCGAAGCACCGCCCACTTCCCGCCCAGGCACACGAAAAGGACGTGGGGCGCCCTGGGCCAGAAGGCCTTGGCCTAAGCAGCACTGTAAAGGAAGCCACCGGCTGAAGAACACGAGGGCTGAGGGTTTACTTACCGTTGGGTAGTAGGGAATGGAAGAATAGTAGTAATAGTAGTTATAATTGTACCCCATTCCTCAGTTTAGGGTTGAGGTTGTTTTTGAACGACCCTTTTCCCTCTGGCTGGAATCCTGACATTTAACTCTCAGGTTTAGGCTTTGGGGCTGATTGAACTGCGAAGGTCCACCGGCCACCAGTTTCCTACAAACTGCAAGGGGCATCTAAGCCAGGAGAATCCGGGCTGGGAAGTGAAGGAGCTAAACATGCTGCACCGTCCTGGCTTTGGAAAAGACGAGATGCAAAGGTGAGAAGCACCTTCTGGCACCTGGTCAGCTCTGCCAGACCTCAAAGAGGAGGGGTCCGGGAGGGGGGTTGCTCTTGAGCACTTATCCTCTGGTTGCGGAGAAGATGCCAGTCTCCTGCCTCATAAGCTCGGACAAAGCCCCCAAACCCTTGCAAGCCTCTGTCCGCGAAATCCGCCAAGGCAAAGTGGGACAGATGCGCCTGGACCAAGGAGGCAAGCACATGCAAGAAGGTTCCACAGTCAGGCTCCAAACGGCAAATGTCCATGCTGTTTGAAACAACGCAAAGCTCTCAAGCCATAAGCTTCAGATGATGTGAACGTGGTGGTGAATAGCAAGCATGTCTGGATAGCGATAGAACCGGCCTCAATGTCACAAGCCAGGTACTCGTAGCCAGCATGGAGCACGTCTCGGGGAGTTTTACAGCTGTTCTCCTCGAACGCTTTCATTTGCTTTGGCTTTGTTTATGGGGGCAGGCAGAGGACGTCTCGCATGCGACGCTCATGAACAATTAAGGTCTGCAACAAAGCCCCGCCACGGCGTCATTGCGCGGCACTAGCGAATCGCCTCCCTCCCATAGTCCTGGCAAAGCTGCGTAACACATCGCGGGCTCACGGCCGCAAAGCGCGCCCGTGGATGGCGCCAGAACAGCGGTGCCTCATGGTCGATGCTTGGGAGAAGGTTGGTTTGCTGCATCGCACCGCCCTACCTCTGAAACGGAGGCTTTTCTAAACGTCGGCAACTTGCAGCCTGCATACTGACCAAGGAGTCTTCAACATCCAGGGTGCAGCGGCAAATTAATACGCAGCACGGACCTGTCTTCAAGCTCTCTGACTCTGACTACTTCAAAACCACCTGCCGATACATGCCGAACTCATCAAGGCTCACGCAGACCTCCTAAGGTCTTCATGGGGTCACCTGGGACTGCCGTGTCACTTTCATGCAGTCTCTTTGCTAGTCGGGTGCGGTGGCCTATCGCTTCCTAAGCCGGGTAAACAACCTTCGAAGCTCCGAATCATTTGTGGAAATGCCCAGGGACTGCATCTGGCCGGTGTCCCGCAAGCAAGTCGCAGATCTTGGGCATGTCCAAGCATCCTGGCATTTCCGGTGCAAACGTGAAACTTGACTTCCCGATCCAGTTCCCGTGTCGCCCTGCGTAGGTCCTTCCAGCACCACCCGCGAGCTGCGTGACAGACAGATGAAGGCCCGGCTCCCCAGCAGCTTGTCTGTAATGCTGCATGCCTGGGGAGTCTTCCGGTTTGGCGGGCAGTGGAAGATTTTATGGCTTTTGGCTCTTTAGGCGGCGAGGGTGAGGGGCATGCAGCTTTCTATTGCAACAACTTGCTTGGTGCTACTACGGTTGATGATATGAATCCTGCATTGCCCATAATAAGGACTATAGCATAATTCCCATAGTTTAGGGCTCTTAAGGTAATGCAGGATGTATGTCATCAACAGTAGCATCGCCTGTCGCACCTCTTTGCCTGAAGACTGCCCACATCTCGTGAGCCGCCACGGCACCAGGCGATCTTCCACCTCGGCGCTCGGCGGCACGGCCTTCGCGGCCTCCGCGGCCTCTGCCCGCCAGAGTGCAGCCTGCAACAGCAAAAACCACTGTGGGCATAGGCCCTATAAGGCTCAATATCGGCTCCAGTCCTCGAAGCTCCTTCGGGCCCGGCTCAGAGAAGCCAAAACACTCCCAAGCTGAACCCTCGACCCTCGAGGAGAGCCTTCTTGGACTTGACTCCCTCGATGGGTTCAGGAGAAGGCAGCGTGACCTTTCCGGGTGCGCACGAACATGTCACAGCCAGAAAGGTTGGCGTTGAAGGTCTTGGGCCCTTCGGGGGCACTGCGCGCTTTTCCCCGGGCCTCCTCCAGAGCCGGCGGGGCAAGCAGTGCTAAAGAGCGCTGCGCCGCCGAACGAACCCGTTCATCCGCATCCTGGTCACCCAAGCAGAGCAGGACCCTCGAAGCACCGGGGCCAAGCAGAGGAAGAGGACCAGCGAAGCTCACCCAAACCCCGAACTCAGCTTCTCAGCATCAGCCCCCCTAAGCCCTAAGCCCCGGGGACCCTCCCTGCCTCTGCGCAGGCCTCCACGGCCTCGATCGTCTCCCGATCCGACGGCCGTGCCACCTCTGGGAATCAAAAGAGCAACCCAGGGTTTCAGCACTCACACTCGGACAACCCAGGGTTTAGGGTTTGGGGTGTAGGGTGTAGGGTTTAGGGTAAAAGGGACGTCCATCTGGCGCAAAGGGTGGCAGCGTGCTGGAGAACAGCATGCAAAAGCTTGTCCGGGACAGTGGTGAGGATTCTCGAAGGCAACCCAGCTGCGGTGCCAAGGGCGATGACGGCCCGCACCCGCACCTCTGCAGAAACAAAGCGCTTTAGAGGGGCGGCGGGGTTGCATTGATGCTGCAGCACCTGCAACACTTTCAGCACTAAACGCCTACTTAAGATTCCTGGATCTCCTGATCCCGAACATCCTGAAAAGC